TACTAGTGTTGGACGGTCTTCTACTGGTTGGGGTAGTTTTATTTTCTATTGTGTTGTGCTGTTGGAGCTTGGTGGTAAGGCTCGGCGGAAAGTTCATGGTGGAACACTAGGTATGACTATTGCCAGAGGTGATGATGGGCAAGGTGTAAGGTTGTTGAACTCCAGAGGCGGTGAATGTTAATCGGTTTGCTGGCCAAATGCTGCTATCTGGAGCAAGTGCCACAATATGTGCACATCATGGTGGAAAGATGTTACAGACATGGAGGGTTGTTTCCTTGCCATAGCACCAGTTGGTATGAAGCAGGCACACTTGCTGTCAATCCTAACGTTGTGGTGCATCTAAAAACAAAGATATGTTGTAATCTTTAGGAACACTCGGAAGTTTGCACAGTCCCGGGCCATAGAACACAGTGAAGATTGCTCCACTTGGGTCTTGGAGGGAGGGAAAGTACTTAGTTCCTTTTTGGTAGCTCATCCCTTAGTGAGTAATTAGCAGAGTTTCTACTAAACCTCCTACAACAGTCTGTTGCGATAGGCTGCACCTCTCATGCTTGTAAGATGTTGAATTATGTAACCCTTCTTATTTAATGCAAAGTCGGACTACCGGATCTTTCAAACTAAATAAATAAATAACCCAAGAGGCCCAACCAACACCTCCCTCTATCCCTACTACACGGTATCACAACTTTAGATTATATTATATTCCTTAGCCACAAGACTAGTCTTCTACTATCCCTACGCCCCTAACACGCATGTGGCTCTGGTTATCTATCCTTCATGACGCGCATTCAGCATGCCCCTATGCTAGTATACTAGCATGCCTTGGAAAAATCATACATGAGGATCTCCGCTAGGGGAAATGCCACATTTACCTAGGGATCGCTAAAAAAAATCCACCGACCGTGTTGATTAGCCATCCGAAAGAGTCTTTACGGTTCCATTGATCATACTTCATATTTTCTTTTGTGTTATGCCTATTTAAGATCATCTGTGTTATCCCTTTGCCAAAGATCGGCATGAACTACAATGTCCTCTTCTTTGTCTCTAGCTATGTGGCATGGCTCTACATGTGCCACCAACATGCCTCGTTATCAACATGTTGCCCAATGCTACCTCAGTCTTGCCTCCATGCACTAATTGGGACACATCCACCCTCAACACCGCTTCTAATCTCATGTTTGATTAGTTTGATAAATGAGCGTGCAACCCATTCTATCCTTACCACATCAGTAGCCCTATCAATAACTATTTGTGTGCATCTCCATAGACCCCATAAAGATAACCATTGAGTATTGCCTGCCTTGAGCTCCCATCCAAACAACAAGGGTTGCCACTACATTGCCGCCCATAGTCCTTTCCGCTCTTACATCATCACCCCCACTTACTACATCCTTGACTACATGTTGGTAATCTTAACAGTCACAGATAAATCTGCAACCGTACAGATACCGTTATAGCTTTTACCCAAGAGTATTCTAAGGTATCAAATCCACGGGACGTGTGCGGACTAGTTAATAAGAATCAAGAACGACCAAGGAAGAGGAAGGGAATACAAGTGTAGAGGGTAGAGCAATCATACTAAGGATTCTGGATAACGCTAGGTTGCTCAGGATTTTACTATAATGTTTGCTTTGGGATGTTCAACCATCCTAGTGGCGGAAAGGGATGAGAAGTGGGCTAGGCAAGCCAAGCAATGGTCCTACAGTGCTCTAGTGCATCTCATGTGGTGGAGTACATATAGATCGTCAGGGCTGTTATGACATGGGCCTACCACAACTAATCCGTGGCACTAGGCGCTTTCTAGGGCAGTCACAAGACTAGACACCATGTTTACTCGAGTAACTACTATTCCTAGCCTTGCAAAGACTAGGTCATCGGCCAAGACAAGGAACCCACAAGCGATATCATAAAGCTGAACTTTATATCATAATCCAGAATTACCTATGAACAGACCCGATGTGTACTTAGTCGCATCCATCGAGGTACAAGGGACCAAGGAAAAACTGGCAACTCCATCTTCTTCCTAGCTCTCTCCTCACCCCACTTCCTATCTCTAACACTATATAGTACAAATAGACACCACTACTACATAACTAAGGTGGGAGTTGGAGCTTTGCGTGTGTTGTACAATAAGGGGGGCCTTGCATCCCTTTTATAGGTGGAGATGGCCCCTGGAGGAGGTGGCGCAAACCTAGAGCTGTGACTCCTAGTAGAGGTTCGGTCGAACCACCCTCCCCCGTTCTGGCCGAACCGTCAGATCAACCGCCTTCACGTGGATGCTCCAGATGCATTCCCAAAGCCGGTCCTGAGCTACCTGCAAGCTGCAAACTTTGGGCCAATTCCATTGCACTTGGGGTTGGGCAAAACCATACTTTGGCCCAGGTTCGGTCAATCCAACTTGGTGAGTTTTGGGCTGGCTGGGTTAGCTTCTGGGGGCGGTGGTCAGCCAGCCTGCCAAAACTGGACACACCCCTCTTTGTAGCAAACATGCCTCCGAAAAAAAAAAAAAAAAGGCAAGGCTATAAAATCTGGAACCTCCATTGGAGACCAGGAACTGGGAGAAACGTCTCAAGTTAGAAAGGCCACCGCTCCAGAGGGTGGTCTACAAACAATTGTGGAGGGGCAGAACCTATGGAAGACCAAGAACATTAACACAAGAAGACCAACAACCAATCTAAGTGACGCTGAAAACCTTCAAAGAATCAGTGCATGTCTCTAACCATAATCAAAACCGAAAATGCATCTGAAGTGCAAGTAAAACAAACTCAAAACAAGCCAAGTTGACAACTATCAAAGCTCAAACTGCCGAGAACAAAGCTTCACTTGATGAAGCAAATCACAGCAGTGGCAGCAGCAGAAGACAGAGATGCTTATGAGGATTATGACTGCAAATCAGACAGCAGCAGGAGAAGACAAAGATGCCTGTGAGCATTATGACTAAGTATTTGAATGCCCTATGCTAAGCACTTCATGATCAAATCATCACGAAGAGAAGAAATTATCAATCGTTTCTCTGCAAGAACCAAAGTAACAGAACAGAACTACGCCAAAGGCAAAGGTACACCTAAGAGTTGGATAGCCCAGAGATCTATGCAGAGATAGAAACTCTTCTATAATATGAAGACTTGAAGATTCCAAGACTACCACCAAGATGTGCAAAGATCGCTCATGAGATTAAAGACCATCTGGAGCATCACTATAATCAAAGCATTCAAAATTCAATAGCAATTACAATTACAATTACGATATATAACAACACTTCGCCACGTACTTATAACAAGAAGGATACAATCTTACCCATGGTCTCAGGGCTTGAAGCCCTAGCTTACACAAAGTTTGCTTGTATATGATAGAACCTCCATATGCAAAAGGATTTGTGGCTGCTAATGAAGCAGCCATAGAATAAGCAGGAGGAGATCAAGAAGTACTAGCACTGCAGTCTCCAAAAGGGGCGAATAAAATCACGGTAGGGCGAAGACGCGAAGTAACTCATGAAATTGGCAATGTAAAACACCAATGAACTGATGTCTGATGCAACAAATAAAATTTCAGTATGTACCTCTCACTTTATCATTGGCCATGGCATTGCCCTTCCCTTTCCGTTTCATGTTCAGTATTTGGTTTCTTGTTCAGTTTTTCTTACATGACGTAATCGCTGGCTACCTCCATGCCATGGGACCATGGGGGCGGAGCGCACCCTATGGAAGGCGTGCGGTTGTGACTGTACGCTGGCAGGCAGAGAGGTGCTTGGAGCCTCGGTCCATGATCCAAGTGCACGCACGGCATCGGCATGGCCGCGTGTCCGCTGCCTCCTATGCAAGCATACCGCGCATGTATCTGCAGAAGGTACTAGCCAAATCCTTGGCCACCATGGCAATCAAGAGAGTTGCCAGTGCCTGGTCTGCTTCGTTTAGAGCTGGCATTGAATCCCGATGGCATATATATATATATATATATATTCCTCTTCAGTGTGTCTTTCTCCTACTCTCCTCGCTCCTTGGGGGACCTGACTCGATCCCTATATTCCGAATTTCCGATAGACACTCCACCATAGTTACATTATACTTTAAATGCGCTTGCTTGGGCAGTTGGGTCGACAAGACCACAACTCATTAATCAGCTGATGAGATTCAGGGGAAAAAAAAGAAAAGGAAACAAACTATATATAGTTTGACAGTGGTAATTAGTCCGAATTTGCAGCTACCTAGCCGAAACCCAAAATAACCTCAGTTTATATAGCCCAAATTTCAAGAGTACGTCTACTACTCATGTGTTTTATGCAGTTTCAACACATGAATTTTTTTATACCATAGAATTAAGATCCAATAGCCTCCACCCTCCTACTACCTCCAGCCTCCAGCCTTCTTCTATCTTTAGATAATCACAAATCACAAGATTACAGATCCACATATCATAAGAAACAATTTTTTTCTATGAAAGGACAAATCACATATCGCAGAGGAGGAGGAGGAGGGACCTACCTGGAGGCACGGTGCAGGCGCAGCTTCGTCCGAGATGCAGCCAACGGCACAGTGCGGGCGGGGACCGAGGCCGGGGCGTGACGGCGACTCGATCGCTTCGCTTGGACACAGCGACGGAGCGGGCGGGATCGGAGGACGCGTGCATGCGTTGCGCGGCGTCAGCAGAATGGAGGGAGAGAGAGAAAAAATCCATGTGTTTTTTTTGTTAAAATACATGTGTGTTGTATAGCATTTGTGTTTCAAAAAGTCTGAGACGATCAGATGATTCGACATCCCTAGCTATCTGGCGTGCAAGGCTCCACGGCATCAGCATTTCAATGAAGAAGAAGACGAAGCCAACGAAATCATGTGTACTCCAGTTTTGCTCAAGTTCGGAATTTATTTATCAAAAAAGCTGTTCCGACATGCATGCTAAACTGAATTGAAAGTCCGTTATATGCACATGAGTAAACAGCTTGCAAAAATTGAAGCAATCACCAAGAAATTAAAAGCGAGATATGTAAGCCGCATGCACTACTTCTATATATTAGTGCAAAGCTCCATCTCTGCCATTGTCCCGGGGCTGAGGACGACGTTATTGGAGGCGCACCACGCCAGGTAGGCTTCCTGCATGGATCTCGATCTCGGCGTCGTCACGGACAGTAGTAGTGCCGGAGCCGACGGTGGCGACCCAGACGACGATGAGCGTCGCCGAGACGGAGCTCCATCAGCGGCGGCAACTACTGGTGCCGGAGCCTGGGACGACTGAGCGGTGGCTGCGCCCGTGAGCCTCTGCACGGTGTCCGCGAAGTCCTGCGGCGGCACGCTGTAGACCTTGTCCCCGCTTGGGTCTCGCTTCGTCCTGCTCCTCCTCGGCGGCGCCGGCGAGCTCCCTTTATCATTGCTAGGGTTTGCCATGGCTAGCAAGCTAGGTGGAAGCACCAATAGCAGTATCAGGTAGCAGCTGGCCGGGAGCTGGGCAGAGAGGTGACGAAGTGTAAGCACATGCAGTGTCATCTGCTAACTATATGTGTATATATGCTAGCATGCATATTTGTATCCACGTGTGCGAATCAAGTCAGTGTTGGAGCTTTTGATATACATCTAGAAAGAAAGTCGGGGTCGGACGGTGACTCACTCAAGTGCCCACATCAGAGATGATGTCAGCAGGCGGCTGGCCTCCATGGACTTGGTTGCTGGATTGCTTGCATCAGCGGGAAGCTACCCGGTAGCTACCTAATACAACCACTACCCCAGGTGCAGGCTGCTGCAGCATGTTGGGGAGATGGAGACGGGGTTCCTGATGAAGACAAGCAGCAGCTAGCAGAAGGAACTTGCGTACGTTTCTCGGGTGAAGGGTACTGTGTGCACCACGGTTGTGTGTTTGTGTGTGTTCCCCGGGCGGAACCCGGCCCTGTTCATGCTCATCAAACTAGTCTAATTAAATGATGAAGAGGTCACGCATAATTTCCACTACTTAAAATTGCTACTAGTACAATGCAAATGTACGTAGCAGCATGATGCACTAGGTACACTGTGAGTGAACAAATAAAAGGTGGACTTGGCTTCTAGGAGTACTTAATTTTACACCAACATGCATTTATGTATATATGGAACTATGTATGGACCCATCTAACAAAACTTTTTTGTGATTTTTTTATGTGGAGGAGCATATATATATAACAATGCATTTTTAGAAAAAAAAATCTATTAACTTCTGTAAATTCAAATGAATACAGTATGAATGAAGAATTTGATTTAATGAAACTATACTTGGTCTTGGTGTATTTTTTATAAATTTGTTTAAAGTTAAATAAGTTTGACTTAGTATAAAATGAAGGTGAACTATAACTTGAATCGAATAGAGAGTATACTACACATTTGTCCATCACTGTCAGGTCTAAACCCGATATCACTGATGGATTCGGGTCCTGCAGTGATGAGGCAAGCCATCATTACCGGTTCTAGACCCGGTGGTGATATAAGTTATAAAAAGTTCAAAAAATAGAATTCAAGACCTTAAACATTCACATTTTCTCAAGTATCCATACTAGCCGAGATATGCGACACTTCTAGCTATATATAACCCATGTTATTCTTTTAACTACATAATTTTGAATATTATATTGCATATTAGATACTCTAAATGATCTTAATGAAAATTTTGTTAACTGCAAAGTTATAGATCTCATTGAGTACTGCAACTTTGACATTGATCATCTCAAATCTCATCCGAAAACTTATACTAAATATTTGGATATGTAAACTAGCTGTGGGGGTACGACCCCGGATACCCACGGCAGACCACATGGGCTGCTCCCCCAGGGGCAGCCCAGCCCACGAGATGAAGCCTTGTGGGGCACGACTCTGCTCGGTGCATCCCACAAGATACTGGGAAGATATCTTAAAGATGCTACGAGATCTGTTAGAATACGTATAATCCCATGATTCATATAATATGTTATTACTTTCCGGTTATCTCTCAGATTTAACTGACTTGTAACCCTGCCCTCCGGACTATATAAGGCGGGCAGGGACCCCCTCCAAACTCACGCAATATCATACGATAGCCAATACAAACCAACATATCACAAGAGTAGGGTATTACGTCATACTGACGGCCTGAACCTATCTAACTCGTGTGTCTCTGTTGCCTTCTTATTCTTGATTACACGCCTCTCTGCCGATCAATCTACCTTCGTGGGATACCCCTCGGAGGACTGCCGACGATATTCTGTCGACAGTTGGCGCGCCAGGTAGGGGTGTGCGTGTTGTTTCTATATCGAACAAGATGGTATGTTCTGCAGGCTCTTTGTCCCTCCCACAGCCCGGCCAGATCTTCATGGTCGGATCGATCTCATGGATCATCAACGCTGACGAAGTCGGAGAGCTCATCGGGCCTGTGCAGATCAATTCTGCGCCGATCACCCCAACACCTGCGACTGCAGATCCGATCTCAGAACCGCCTCTGAGGTCGCCTTCATCGACAACTCGTCGCCCGCTTCCTCGCTACCAGAGGAGGCAGATCAACAATAACGATCTGATCGCATCCATCGATTAGGTTGGTCTGAAGCTCGCCGATTGCCTCTCCATCGCCGAATCGGCTCTGGACACTCTGGTTCAGCGCTGACCACCCTCCGATCTAGATCTATCGGAGGCTGCTTAGGCAACTCCAGGGGTTACGGCCCTACCCTTCGGGTTCACCAACGCCGCCGCCGTTTACCAAGATGCCCTAAGGGGCAAATTCGCCAACCAGGTTGGAGCTGTCCATCCTCTCGCCGACCAGATCGCCAACCAGCCTCTGCCGGCCGTCAACATGCTGCACGTCGGCCGACGCCCCAGAGCATCCCTCCAAACCATACTAGAGGAGAATCCGGACTTCGAGTCCCAGGGCTCTATGGAGACCATCACCAAAACCACCACCAAACTACTTCCTCTCTCTCCGTTCCGTGGTGGCACAATCTTCAATGTCAGTGTCGATAGCCCCCTCAGAACGGTGAAACTGAGGAGGAACGCACCGCTCACGAGAGCCGGAACGTCAACCGTGCGCAGCGCCGAGCAAACAAGGTTGCCCTTGCGATGGCCGAGCAGTAGCTTAACTCGCAAGGAAGGCCACTCCAACGCAATCTCAATGACGAGTTTGTCCGTGTTGACGGCCACGACGTCTACAAGACCCCAAGCGCCAATCTGGCAGTGGCCACCAACAAGCTCGCCCGGCTCCCGCAGACACCCGAGGTCGCCGCCATGCTTAAAGCAGCACACTGTCAGGTCAATGAGATCTGCCAGGATCAAAGACCTTCATACTCCACAACCTTGATTCGCCGACCAGCCGCGCCAAGATCCGATCGCCGCCCAAGTCGCTTCACCGACCAGCACCGCAACGATAGGCAACCCCTCCAGGGCAGAGCTAGGGGCAACTGCATTGAACACCACCGCCAACACGACCAGGAGGTCGAGCAGGACATCCGAGTGCACCTCAACAATCTTCGAGATGCACGACGACGTATCGACGAACGCCACTTCGGTCACCATGAAGAAGAAGTGCGCTGCCGCTAGGAGTACGAGCAAGAGTACGGTAACCCGGACTTAGCTCTCGAGCCTCTCAACGCCGGCAACGTTGCAGACGATGGCACCAACAACCCCGAAGGCCCCCAGCATTCACGAGGGAGCTCCGAACACTTCAGTGGCCCCGTGGTTTTAAAATCACTGGGGTCGAGCCCTACGAAGGAAGGATGAACCCAACACAGTGGCTACAGGCTTACGCCACTACTGTCCACACCGCCGGAGGAGACACCAGTGTCATGGCGAACTATCTTCCCATCATGCTCACGCCAACCGCCATGAACTGGTTCACAAGCCTTGCCCCGGATTCCATCGGATCCTAGGAAGAGCTGAAAAAGTCTTCACCGACAATTATATGGCTACGTGTACTCGGCCGGGCACCAAGCATGTTCTCAACCGCATCAACCAGAAGCCATTCGAACTTCTTCGTAGCTACATCAGACGCTTTTCTGAGATGAGGAATTCTATTCCCAACATCACGGAAGCTGAGGTCAACACTGCCTTCATCTGAGGACTCCATCACTGCGAGCTTCGCTCCAAGTTCAACCCCAAGCCACCCACAGGGATCGGCAAGATGATCACGATCGCCAACCAGTACACCGACGCCGAGGAAGCCAAGGTGCACTTCAACGAAGATGCGGGCACTCATCGCCCAACACGCCGCTACGACGACTTCCCCGATGACCGACGCCACAATGACCGCCGCTACGACGACCGCAGTTACCATCATAACAGCGGCCGTGATTGCCCAGAAGGACCCAAGTCTGGTCAAAATCACCGCCGCCGGCCAGACCACATTATCGCCACCGTTAATGAACCTCGCGCCAAGCGCAACCACGATGAGCAGTATAAGAAGATCCTCGATGGCCCGTGCCCTCTCCACAAGAATGCCAAGCATAAAATGAAGGATTGCCTCAGCTTGGCTAAGGAGTTCCAAGACAAAAAGCTGGACGACGACACCAACGAAGGAGCCGAAGGCCGCCGACCACCTAGGGGCAATAACAACGCCTTCTAGGATCATGACAAGGTGGTCGCCACCATCTTCGGGGGCCTCGCCTCCACTGAGAGCAGAAGAGAATGAAAGCTCGCCGCCCGGCGGGTGCTTGCAGTCAATATGGAAGACGCCGCCGCCAACCCCAGCTATCGCCCATGGTCTGAGGTCCCCATCACCTTCAGCAGGGCCGACCAGTGGGCGGACATCCCCTACACAGGGCGTTTCCCCCTTGTCCTCAATGCAACCGTCCAGAAAGTGTTTTTTAGAAAAGTGCTCATTGACGGTGGGAGCGCTCTGAATCTCCTCTTCACCGGAGTCCTAATGGAGTTGGGCCTCGGGATAACAGATCTCACACCCTTAGATTCCTCCTTCTAGGGTGTGGTATCTGGCAGGGCATCCAAACCACTTAGAGAGATCACCCTACCAGTATAGTTCGGCACGGCAAGCAACTACCGTGTCAAACACATCAACTTCTACGTCGCCGACTTCAACACCGCCTACCACGCCATACTTGGTCAGCCAGCTCTAGCCAAGTTCATGGTTGTACCACACTACGCTTATCTAGTGCTAAAGATGCCTTCGCTTGCAGGAGTCCTGCCCTTGCGGGCCAACCTCTCCATCGCCTATGCCTACGAGACAGAGAGTCTCGCCCTCGCCGAAGCCACCGACCTCTCCATCTAGATGGCCAGTGTGGTCACCGACGCCAAGACGGTGCCCGCCGATGACTTAGAGATCCCATCGCTGGAGCCTCCTCACGCCTCCACCAAGTCCAAGGAAACCAAGGAGGTCGGCCTCGGCCTTGACGACCCCTCCAAGACCGTGAAGATTGGGGCTCACCTCGACCCCAAATAGGAAAGTGTGC